ATCAATTTTGCTTACATCTACTATCAAGTAAGTAAATAATATAATTTTTATTAAAAATGTATTATTTTATTATAATTGTTTAGGATTTAAGATTTAAGCATATTTTCAATTGAACAGTAGGTACTTAATTTTTAACGTGTTTAGTATACTTAACTGAATAACCTGACACCTGTATATTAATATTTAATACTAAATTTTCAATATACATTTAACGTAATGGGTTTAGTGAGTTCAATAAATTATAAATGATTTCGTGATTACTTTTTAAATATTTCGTAAATAAATAATAATAAAATTATTATATTTTATATTATGTTAGAATTAAGAAAAATATGTAGGTATTCAATAACGCATACATTTATCAGACTAAAAACTCTAAAACAAATTTTCAAAGTCAGTAGACTATTGAGTATTGACTCAACGTAAATTATATTTATTTGATTATTTCACCTTTGAATATATGCTTATAGATACAATATTACAATGTAGGTATATTATTTTTCACTCTCTCACTGTGTTAACAAAAATTATAAAACAATTTTATTTAGTTTTTTCCGGTTTGTAAATAAAATATTATATTAAATTATTATATTAAATATTTAGTACAAGCCTAGGATTATAACCAATGGCGCTTGTAAGCTGAGTAAAAATTGATTTCTCTAGTTTACAGCTAGCCTTCTACGTACATATTTTTTTAAATTTTTAATTTTAGCCTATAGATAAATATACTATAGAAACATTTTACATTTTTCAATTGCCATACAATAGCCCACCATAACTCAACTTAAATAATAATATTTTTTATTTATTGAACAAATAATTAGAAAAATTAAAAAATAAAATTTTATTAAATATTTATTTTCGTGAATGGCGCAACAATAAATCCGCGGTCGCTGGTTAATCACTGTTTTACGGGCTGTAGTATCACTAGCTACTTATATCTTAATCTAGACTTGGAATAACAATGTCGGATGCAACTAAACATATCGTGTACAATTTAATACACCATTTGTTAAAAAAATATTGTTAAAATCTGTTGTCTATTATGATGGAAAAACTGAGTTTTATTTTTTGCACGAAATTCTGAACGATCTCATAGTTTCCCTGCTAATCTCGCTCGTAGTTGCTCGATTCGTCAGAAGTAGAAAACTCAAAACTCAAACGTGTTAATACTTCATTAATCATTAAAAATAATTATTATAGCCATTATATCATTATTGACATTATTGTATTATTGCATTTTATCAGTGAGCCATTCCGTTATCATTATTTTCCTGTATACATTTTTAAATGTATAATTGGTTTTCTAGTTTTTGAATTGAATGTCAGATGTATTTACATAAAGTGATTACTTAAACTAATAAATTAACAATATCATTTAATAATATATTCACTAAAATAATCTTATAGATAATTTTATCATATAATTGGTGGCAATTATATGAATTATTTATGTTGATTGTTTGCTTAAACTAACACTTAAATAATTATGTCTTATAACTCATATTTAGGTAAAGTTCATTCGAGAATGAACCATTTAAAAAAGTAGCTTATTAAATAAAATACTACATAATTTAAAATTGTCTCATTTTAAAATTTATTACAATCAATTTAATTTTATAAAAAATCTAAAAGTATATGCCATTTATGGTATATTAGGTACAAGGCATTGAATACGTGTGCTAATATTTATGTATTATTATATATTTTAAGAATTATAATTATCTCTAAATTACTTAATCATCCCAAAAGAAACATAAAAAGTAACTTTAACAAAATTTTATATCAGAAACTTTATAGTTTGAAGATTCTTGATGCGAAATATCCGTATATCAACGCCATCTAACGATTTTTTCTTGAAATAAATTATGTAGACAATAGTTTAAAATTAAACCACTCTACGCGCTAATAGCAATGTAATTCCTTTTATGCAACCGGTTTAGATGTTGGATATATCAACGCCATCTAACGATTTTTTTCTTGAAATAAATTATGTGAAATTTTTATTTAAATTGTAGTTTAGAATTAAACCACCCTGCGCGCTGATAGCAATGTAATTCCTTTTATATAAACATTATAAACGGTTTAATGGTAGTGGAAGAAACATACTTTGCCGTTCTCTTAGTCTTCTATCTATAACATTAGTTCATTACATTCTCACAGATTATTTTCTTTTATTATTATTATATTCTCATTTCATATAATATGTAATATTATCATTTATTTTGATCCATGGTTCTTACCTTTCACAGCTATAGTATACCAATAGATATCTACTGACAACTAAAAAAAAACTTCCAAACCTCCACTCCACAATAGTAGTGATCGGGTATTATCTAGCTTGATTTCTTTATGCTTGATACTATGTTTTCAAAATTCCTTTCGTATTTTGTAGATTAAAATACCTATATCCTAAAACTCCTTTATAATTAAAAAAAAAAAAGTTTTAGTAAAAACACTCTTTTTAAACTAATTATGTATATAAAATTGTTTTATTTGTTAAAATGCATTGATCGTTTAGTGGATATATTATGATTTAAAAGTATCAGCTATGAGTAATTTTACATTTTTTTTGGTACAAACATCAGAAAAAATTAAAAATTACATATTGCGTTCACAATTACTGTGTGTTGCCAAGTGCAAAATAAAATACTTTGTATATCAGATATATAACCTTAAAATTAAAACAAAATTTCTTACTAATATTTTCTTATTTTTTTTTTATCACATTTTCATCTTTTATTAAAAAAAAAAAAATTATAGTAAATTAAATAAACTTCTTGTACGTTATGATAAAAAATTTAAAATTTAGTAATATTATGTCTTTTTTTTTAACAGTATAAATAAAAAAGTTCTTAAGATAACATATAAATTTACATAAATATCACATAATAATAAAAATTTAAAAAAATTCCACTTGTGTTATCAACTGGTTTATTTGGTATTTTTACAATTCTGCCATATCTTTTTCTAATTTTAGATTCATTTTAGTAACTTTAACATCAATTTTTATTTTGTCATTATTAATAAAACTTTTTGAATTATGATTAGAATTATCATATTTTAAGCTTTATGTAGTTTTTATAAAGATCTTACTATTTATATTTCAAACTATGAATTATATGGGTGTTTTATAGTTGCACACTATTGTGTATACCTTTTTTCCACTGATTATTTTATAACCATAAAACTTTATCACAAATGCATTTTTTTTTTTTTTTTTTTTGATTTTTCTGTTTATATTTGTATTATAATTAATTTATTGATTATTCTGATATAGGATTTCTAGGTATAACTGGAATTAATTTTTTTTATTAACTGGTAATTTACTTTTTAACTTTCTGTTCATTAATAATTTAGAAGAAGTATAATTTCAATTAGACAATGGTTTTGTCCACTAATTAATAAATACAAATTTAAATCTTGACCCATTTTTTCATTATTGTTTTAAAGATACAGACAATTTTTTCGACCATACTATTACTCTGTAAGTAATTAAGACAAGATGGTGTTATTTTTAAATCCCATTTTTTAGCCAACTTTTTAAAATTATTGAAAGAACATTATCTGACATAGACACCTTAAGTATACCAAACCTACTAAATATTGTTTTAAGTACTTTTATTAGTGTTTCAGCTAATTAATTAGATAAATCTAAGAAGTTAAGAATAGAATTTCTTAAGAAAATGATTAATTCCAATAGTCTCAGTAATTTTTTCCTGATTTTTTGGACAAAATTTTTTGAAAGCTTGTTTAACTCTAATATACCAGCTTTCATTAATGAAAGATGCATTCTTTCAATTTTCAACACATTTTCAATTTTCTCAGAAAACATTTTAAGATTCTCAATTTTTTAGAAAATTATAAATTGCTATCTTAGTATAGATTTTAGAGTATAACGTATTACTTATATGCAATTACCTATACTAATATTTATAATAGGTATAATAAAACAAATTATTATATTACTAACAAGTAAAATAGTGTAATAAATTAAACATGCTTTACACCTTATATCTATTTATAAATTTATTTTTGGTGATGCTGTGAGAGACGGAGTGGTTTTGAGGATTAAAATAAACTATTAACGTTTTATTCGGTTATTCTACTAGTAAGTAGTAACTATGTTATTTAACCATTCATTGGCATAGCCAGAATTTTTGAATGGGGTAATTAAGGTTTAGGTATATTAAAGCTAGCGGACCAATACATAGAGAGCATAAAAAAAGCCATTTAAAATATGCATTTTAATTAGAATTATTTTGTTTATTTTAACTTCATTACATTAACCATAAGCTTCTTGTTTTGATTGCTAATTTACAGAATAATTAAAAATATTAAAATAGTGTAATAAACTCAATTCTCATTTAATTATTTTAGTTATTATAATATAATATAATAAATTTTACATGAAGTATATTTTATGTTGACAACTAATGTAGGTATTAATAATCAATTTACGGTGAATAGATAAAGCTTAGATCAAAGATGAAAACCAATTGTTGTTTTCATTTTATACATAAAAATGTATAGTAGACGACAGGATATTAAATTTGAAAATATAATAATCACGCTACCATAGGACCCATAAATACGAGTAGAGCACCTAACATTAGTAGAGAAGGTAGTAAACAGTAGAGTTCTAGATTTTATTTTAATTGTTTTAAAAACTGTACGAATAAAATATACATTTTATTTATAACTTGTAAAGTAAAGTGTTCTTTTATTTTTAATATTTCTACCTTCCTCAATACGTCTCAAGACTACGTCGAAAGTGCTACATCGTTTAAATAATAATCGTGGTACCAATCGCTGTGTCTTGCTCAATGATCACTACACAAATTTGGTGTCAGGTGCGGGGTCTAATATCGAATGAAATAAAATTAATGTTTTAATATATAAGTAATTCGAGACCCACCAACGAACCACGTTCAACTTCTATCAAGAGATTCACGTCAATTGGATTTACTATTTGGTTTCAAAAAATAATCCAGCCGAAAATGTCAGCTCAAGAGACAACGTCCACGGAACACAACACAAGTAAACAGAGCTTGTTCACGGAGAAAACAATTTCTAATCAAGCCAAAGAAGTTCAAGGGGCGCATTCTTTCACTTCCAACAAGATGAATAAAGTGTAAGTTATTTTTACTATAATATACTAAGTCAAATCTGTTGTGAGTTAAGAGTAGTACATAGTAAATGTATATAAGAAGTAAAGGATCAAGTGAAAACGATCCAGTTTTAATAAGAGTGCCTGAGACGTCCGATTCTGTGTTAACTAATACATTTAACTCAGAGTACACTGAGAATTCAAAAAATACAGAGAGTACAGGAAGTGCTAATAATTTAATAAATTTAAATTCAACTATAAGGGGTAATGTAACGAAATAAAAATGATGTCGAATTAATTAGATTTTATAACTACTTTAAGATTACCCAAGTTCGCAGGGGGAAACGAGACTGAGCTAGCCTCTTTTATTTTGCAATGCGTGTTTGTTTTTTTAAAAGTACCGGATAGTATGAAGTCCAATATTTTAGAGGCAGTTCTTACTAAACTCAAAGGTAAAGCTTTTGACACAGTAAGGTATCGGGAAATCAGTTCACAGCTGAATTAAAATCGCATCCTGGAACTATTTTTAGTACATCGCATTCGTTACAATATTTACGTGGACAATTAAATACAATGTAGTTAGGTCCGTCAGAAACGATGAAAAGTTTTGGGCAACGAGTAGAAAAAGCATATCATAAATTAACTCCCGCATTAACCGTAGAAAAAAGTTCAGCGGAAGCTAAAATACACGTGCATTAGTACAGGAGAATAATACACTAAGCGTTTTTAAAGGTGCAGTTCAAGAACCTATTTAAATAATATTACTCTCGCGAAATATTAGTAGTTTTGAGGAAGCAGTATTACTTGCAATAGAACAGAAGACAGTTTTCGGTAAACCAAAACCACCAATCAAGCTTGATTATAAGAATAATTCTCAAAATAATTTCAAGAAAATTCCTGATCGACCCAGTATCGATAAAAATACGATTAAATGTTTAGAATGCGACCGAATGGATCACTACGCAAACAAATGTAGGACTTTAGAAAGAAATATTATAAAAAATCCCGTGATTAAAAGAGAATATACGGGGCATGTAAAATTTTACAAGTGTAAATTAAAAAATCACGATATCAGTGAATGTCGGAAATTAAAGGAAAGGACCAAAACTGAGGAAGAGCTTTCTACTTTCTAGTAGTTCAGAAAGTTCATCGTCCGACACAGAGACAATCGGTGAAATAAAAAATAAAATACGAATAATAACGCCGATTTTAAAGAAAAACATATTTTATGCAGGTCTAGAAATTTCATTCCTAGTGAAGGTAAATTTTTAATAGTCAGCGGTGCTGATATTAATGTAATTAAATTATCAATTCTCAAAGATCATTTAGTAGTAAATAAAACGGAGAAGCGTCATATCAAAAGAATTAGTGATAACACTATTTTAACCATAGGTACTGTTTTTGTTGACGTTTTTATTAAAGATAAACAATTTAACATTAAATTCGATCTATTATACGATGATTTTCCTACACCCGAAGCGGGCATTTAGGTGTTGCATTTTTAAAAGAAAATACAATTATTATTGATTGGAATAAAGGCATACTAATTATACCCGATTCTATAGAAGCGAACAAAGTTGAACCAATTATCATACCTATACGCAGAAATTGTGTATTACAGGTAAAAGCAGATGAGGAAACTAACTCTAATTTGAAAGCTATTAAAAAATACGCGTTAAACGAAGATAATTTCCATCAGTTTAAACCCAGTATGAAACAATAAAATCATAAGTAATATAAATAATATATCAGAACAACCATTTATTATTGACGAGCTAACTACAAGCCATGTAAAATAGGAACCGTATACGGATAAAATATCTTTAATCAATAAAGTCAATAAGGGAATTAATGTAGGTCATCAGAGTTATTTAAAATTATTAAACGAATCAATTAAAACTGATCATTTGTAAAAGGAAGTGAAAAGTAATATTGTAAAAATATGTAACGAATATTCCGATATATTTTTTCTGGAAGGAGACCTTTTGACCACGACAAAAGTTGTTACACATAAAATTAACACGCCACGTGCCCACGTTTAACGAAAGCAATAAACATTCGCCCGTATCGGCATATCGATTGGGCATACTGGACATAGGGAAATTCAAAGCTTCTCCATGGCGTTGTTCAATAGCGCGATCTAATCGGATAAAGAAAAAAGAGAGTAATGCAAATTATTATGATAAAAATATACATGAAATTAAAATAAACGTAGGGAATAAAGTTCTAATAAAAGAACATAATAAACGTAATACGTCAAGTAGAAATTTGACGGGACCGTATAAAGTACTAGAGGTATATGATAATGAAAATATAACAATAAATAAAGGTCGCAAGGGTTACTGGATCCACAAAAATAACGTTGAATTATTTTTATGAGATCGAACTATTAGACAAATAATTTACATAAATATATACATACAAGCTCGTAGAAGTAGTTATTTTAATTAGATTAATTTTTATTTTTCTCTGTCTTATACAGAGTGGGCGTTGCAACTGTATTTTATCGAGAATTAGTACCACCACAACTAACCGGTCAGGAAAGCATAGAAGAATTGATCGCACTACGAAAATTATCGAAACAAGTGATCGAAAAATTTTGTGAACAAAACCCTGATATTAACAAGGAATTGTGGCGAACTTTTGCTGTACGGTGCATACTCAAATTAAGGAACAAGGCATTGTATGTAAATTTTAGAATCCCGCCCACTGCTCATTAACGCGCATGATCCATATACGGATGTAAAGTACTCTAAATGCATATTCAATTTCATAGTAAAATACTACCGGTACGAAAACCTAATAAAACAATGTTGATAGAATAGTGTTTTCTCGTTTATATAAATTTTGGGATTATTATTATTATAATTATTATTAAATATATATATATACCTATAAACATATTATTATTTTTTTCATGTATTCCAGTATATTTATTTTTCAAATACTACTCGAATACAAACTAATGATGTCACAGGTACAATTTATCGACAATCAATTACCACTGAGGTCTGGTATATATTACGAGAATATAGGACCAATAAAAATAATTATTAACACCTGGAATTTAGCAATTTACCTAGATACATCACGTCATTATACAGAGCAATGGGAAACCATTGAAGACTGTTTAGAAAAACTCAGGGTAATGTGTGCAAAATCGACAGGTACTTGGACGTAGTTCCAAGCTGTCATTCTTTATTAAATCATATATTATTATTAAATAAAAAATTAATTAAACGTAAAGAGCTATTATTAGACTCAGTCGCGTTGAGAAATAAACGTGGAGTAATGAGGTACGTTTCGCATGCCGCGCAAGTTTTATACGGGTTGTGTAATTGGGATTATATAAAGAAATTCGATTTTTCTATAAATAAAGTAAAGGAAACTAAGGTAGATCAAATGGAATTGATAGACGAAAATTTGAGAATATTAAGTATAAAACAAGAAGAAAACGAGGGACAAATAGCACGTTTAGGAAGAACAATAGGGGACTAGTGAACTTACCTAACAATATTTTTTCCCGAATCGGAACTAATAAGCAATTTATAGTAATTAACTAATTTATGTTGATACAAATGATGAGAATAAATACTTTGGTCGAGATAATACAAAGTGCAAGGTTGGGACAAATACACCTAAGTTTATTAAGTACGTGAAATCGGTTAGAATAGTTTAAAAATATTAAACTGATTTTACCTAGTGGAATCAATATGTACGGTAATGTTTGTGATTTGATTAAGCTAGCAGATTTGACAGTATACTATAATATTAATAACATTATTTTTATTTTAAATATTCCACTTGTATATCAATATGATTTAAGTTTTTATAAATTAATACTACTTCCGGTTTGTGTAACAGAAAAAAAAAATGTATGTATATTAGATCTAAGCATGAATTTTTAGCTGTTACAAAATCTAAGGAGCTCTACTCGACTTAAGGTAATTTTAATCCCACCATTAATAAGTCTGTACACAAATTTTTGGTATGTGCCAAAACGTACGCTAACCTAACCTAGGTATTACATAAATAGGATTATATTGAATATATAGGATATATAGGATTATATAAATAATCGTGTATTACATTTTCAAGTTTTTTGAACAAATAATTTTTTATTGACAATAATTGAAAAAAAAATATCGAACATTTTTTATCATGCCTATAAATAGCTTAAAAGGGTTAAAATGCCATTATATTGTATAGAAAATGATAGTAAAAATATTTGGTGATAAATGTAGTAAATTAAGTTTCCAAGATTATTTGTTTTTAAATTACATCAAAACATCAATTAAAAATTTTCTCATCGAGATTTATGAAAAAAAAAAAATTGAAAATAGACAATGCCTAGATAGCTCAAAAAAAGTTAAAATTAAAAAGAGTTAAATCATGTATTAATACTATTATAAATATTTGATAAAAATAAAAACATAACAATAAACATATATATTCACATCAATATAAAGTAAGTACTATAGTTCTACTTAGAATCAAAAATAAGCAAAATAGGGTTAAATACTTTAATCAAGGCTATTATTTAATGTATTTACTTATATACAATCTTCTACATTTATATATTTATACAAATTTCATACCTCAGAATGATAATTTGTTTTTCTTCAGGTCTCATATAGGTGTATAGGCGTACGCAGGATTTTATGTCGGGCGTGACTTACATTTTTAACCTGCCCTAAAGAACAAAAAGCAGCCCACTTATTTCCTTAATATAGCACTTATAAGCACATAATAATTAATAATAGGTATTTATACATTACTCATAATATTGAAACTCTTAAAGAATTAAATATGTAAAATAAAAATATATAAATAGACTTACAATATAAGTCTGCAATTGCTGGGAAGCAAATGTTTAAATTCATCAATTACATCATTAAAGTCAATACCAATTAAAAATTGTTATTTTACAAACAAAAAAAGAAGCGCATCCAATCTTTCTCGTGATATGATAATTCTTAATTTTTTATAATGTTGAGTTTTGAAAAAATATGTTCACAACTACAAATAATAGTCACTGAAATTGTCACAAACATTTTTAGACAGTGAAAATTTTTTTTTAAATGTCATGTCTACCATACTGTTTTAACCAATTGAGCCAGGGTCTGTCTATACCACAGATATATAAAAATACTAGATAGCCGACTTGGGTATTATTATTGTCGCCAGTAAAATGGCCGCCATCCTTATCTAAGAGGTGAATGTTTATGTTTCTTAGTATTGATAAGAACGATGTTAATATTATTTATTATTTAATACTAGGAATAATCAATGAACATTTAGAATTAAATTTATATACTTAAAGCTATTATTATTTTGTGTAACATTTTAGAAAAGTTTTTGTCTTTTTGAGTGGAATTAAATTTTCCTATATACAAGGGAAATTTTCATCAAATATTTTGTCTGTGTTCTTGAAGATAAAGTTTTAAAGATAAATGTAAGTTAGGTATAACTATCTACTTATAACATAATTTATTGTAATACAAATACCAATACACCCAGAAAGTATAACACTTAAAAAAAATGATCACGTGCTTTATTTATTTAATCAGTACAATATAACTTTAATAAAATAATATATATTTATATTAAAATAAATCTTGATTCCTTGTATTTATCAAAATGCTTAAATAATAATATAAAATATTTATAATAACAATAAAAAAATAATAGGTATTATAAACTACATGACATTTAGGTAAAACAATTTTATTGATTCATAAATAAAATTTGTTTTGTCAATTTATGGCGGTTACTAATTAGATTTAAAATATCTGTAGAATACATTTTACCATATGAATGTAATCTCATGCTTAAATATTTCTTTATAAGTAATGCAATTAAAACCATTTTATGGGGTCTATCTAATGTAAAACCATTATTACATTCTAAATATTTAAATATATTTTTGTCTACTGCAAATTTTTTATTAACAAAGCAATGATAAACCATAGTAATAGATATATATTTAAAAAATATTAATAATTACTGTACCTACCTTTCCTATACATTAATCACAATTTATATTTATAAAATTAAAAAAAACATGCTTAATATGTGCATTAATAATGTTGGTGTATGAGTAATGTTTGGCATGTAGGTATCTGGTATATATTGTTATAAAATAATAACACAATGCATATATTTAATTATTATTTTTATTAAGATTTATCATGTTTGATAATCGTTTGGGATTCTTAATAATTATAAATAGTTCACAAATACCATAATATTGTTTTATTCAAATACATACAGATAATATTATATTATATTAAAATATAGAATTGTGTAAAATATTAAATGGTTCCAAATTTCAGTTCCAAGCAAATACATTTTCTACAATAAAAGTTTCTGAGCTTACACTATTCAGACAAAAAAATTTTCTGAAGTTTTCGTTCCTATAAAATTTAAAATATTATATCCCTCCAAAATAGTGTCTTATCATTTATCATATCAGTTTAATTTGTAAACAGTCACCTCTTAGATAACGATTATCGGCCATTTTGTTGGAGACATAATTTTGTATGTAAAACGTATGGCAGTCGGCTATCTAGTATTTTTATTTATCTGTGGTCTATACGCAGTCGATTAGAGCACCAACGCCGTTATCACTTAATTGTTATCAAAAAAATGTTATCTTAAATAATATATCATCACTCATATCAATTATTATTATTGTATATTTACATCCAAGTATATTATGTACAATTGTACAATGATTAATAGAATTAAAATTGTCATTAGATAAAAATGGTAGTCAAGTTGTATTTAAAAAAAAAAACAATAAAAACAATATCCAACTATTTTGTCACTTAATTTACGGTAAGTCATGTTATAATAAGACAAATGATTTAAAAACTCACATAAGCAATACAAATCTATAAATAGTAACAATTAATTTTAAAATGTTTAGTTATTTGTATAATGTATAATGTATAAAATTGATAAAAATGTTTAAGTTGTATTTAAAAAAATAAAAATTATAATAATAATAATAATAATAATAAAATTTATCCAAGTTTCTTTTTTTTGTGGGATTTTGGTATATTTAATAATTGTACAAATGAACGCTTTGAAGTAATATTAATCCGTTGTCTATATTCGTCCTAGAATTCAATTTTGAATTAACACTATTTAAGATTTTTAGTTGTTCAGACAATTCTTCTGAATGGTCATTTGAATTAATTATATATGTTAAATCTAACATATTTTTAGGGTTTCTCTAATTTGTTCTAAAAGATTTTCTTCTTTTTCAGTGTCTAGAATTAAATTATGTTTGTCACTCATACAGTCATCTATATTTATATTAAAATATTTTCCTTTTTGAATACATTACTAATAGGTAATTTATGGAAATAGTGTTATTATATGTGTATTTTCTTTGGGTTTATGATTTGGTCCATTTACACATTCAAAATAAATATGTTATTTTATTATAAATGGACAGCCCATAAATTTAATTGGCAACTCTCCACGCTCAAGTGAAAATCTGTACTTAGAATTATCTCTTAACAACACATTTTAATATTATTGGTTTATATTTTGAAATTCAATTAATAACTATGTAAACATTTATACTAATTAATAAATTACCTTCATATTTTATTGATTTTGCCACAACATAACCAAAACCTAAATACCGTTAATTAAGTGACAAAATAGTTGGATATTGTAATTATTGTTTTTTTTTTTTATTAAGTAC